AAGACTTTTAAAGAACTTTAAGGGCTTTTAAAGAGTTTTAATGGATCACATGGCTGTGAAAATACCCAAAAGGCTGTTTTTAAAGACTTTTAAAGCATTTCTTTACAACCTGGCAGCTGCTTTTCATCCCACCACTCCAATACTTTGCATTGGTGGGATAATATATAATATAAAGTTGGTCTAAATCTGGGTTTCTGGACCTTGTTGATGGGGGGGGGGGAGTTTCCACTTCCAGCATGGAAGCAAGAAAGAAAGAAATGCTCAGTGACAGAGGGGGGGGGGGAACTCTTTTCTGGCTTTTGCAATGCTGGAAGTCCTCAACGTACGACCATGATTCAGCCCCCAAATTACGTTGCTGAGTGAAACATTGGTTAAGCCAGTTTTGCCCCGCTTTACGACCTTTCTTGCTGCAGTTGATGAGGAATTCCATTGTTAAGTGAATCTGGCTTCCCCTTGGACTGTGCGGGTCAGGTGGTGGCAAAAGGGGATCATGTGACCCTGGGACATCACAACCGTCGTAAATATGAGTCAGTTGCCAAATGCCTGAATTTTAATCACGTGACTGTGGGGGACGCAATGGGCGTCACTGTGAAAAATGGTCCTTTTTTTCCACTGCAGTTGTAACTTGAGGACTCCCTGTACTATTATGTATATTTACAATATATTTATCATTATAATTGCGGCAGTTTAAGCCGGATAGAATAGAGCTCTCCAAAACCGTGGCAACTTTGGGACGTGTGGACTCCAACTCCCAGAATTCCTCAGCCAGCGTGCGCTGGCTGAGGAATTCTGGGAGTTGAAGTCCACACATCCCAAAGTCGCCAAGCTTATATAGAATATCCCTTTAATGGGCTCACGCTAGTTATCGATCCGGCCACTAGATGGCGCTTGAGCCACATACATTCATTTGCAAGGGCATTTTTAAAAGCATATTTGCAAGGCAAAGGGCATTCAGAGCTATTTTGCAATTATATATCTAAAGGGAGTGCGCAAAATCCTTCAAAGCAGGCTTATCAAACGGTAAAGCGTGCCTCGGCAAGCACTGTAAGCCTCCCATGCTTCAAACCGGCCTAAATTGAGAAAGGTTGGCTTAAAAGGCCACCTTTAAGCCTAAAGGCCAGAGAAAACACAGCCAGACAGATAGCAATTTCCCTGCAGTTGATTTTTTGGGGTGCTGTGTGTGAATTGTGTTGCGTGTTTTAACCATGTCCCATTTAGTCTCATCCAGCAATACGGAACCAGAATCTGTGCGTGTTTTTTTTAATCCCTTAAACCCAACTGCGATGATCAAATACATTAAGCTTGGCGAGAGTTTTTGAGAGTTTGAATTTGGGGGAATAATTGAGCCATTCAAAACTCTGTTTAACCTGCCTAGCAATCAGGCCAAGCAAGTTAACAAGACACCAAAAAATGTGACTTCCCGTCCGGCCTTCTGGAAATACAGGCGCCTTTGTTTCATGCTTGCCCAGCTTGCGAAAAAGTCCCATTCCTGGGTTAAAAGGCAGCTCTTCATTTCCATCCCGGTGCTATTAAAATAAAATAAAAGGCAGACAGTTTTGCAAGACGAGGCTCTGCAGTCCTTGTTTTATTTTATTTTATTTTATTAAACGACTTTCTGACTGCCTGGACAAATAGCAAGAAAATGAAGTTGGCTCTGTCTTTGATGGCTCCAAGGGGAGATTCCAAGAATTAAAAATCGGTCCAGCCCCGATTAGACTGGGTGTATGATGTGGTTTTTTTTAATCTGTCTTTCCTCGTTTTTTTAACTTTTTACTTTTTAAAATGTATTTGTTGTAAGCCGCCCGGAGTCCTTCGGGATTGGGCGGCCTATAAATTCATTAAATCTAATCTAATCTAATCTAAACTGCAAG